CCAGGTTAGCTATGCTGCCCTCGAACCAGCGCTACAGCCCACCTGGAGGCGTCAAAAATGAGGGTAGCGGAAAAAAAGACACCTTTTTCTGACAACCCAAACCTATGTCCTCCTTTCTAATCGCGAATACGCTTCAAGACTGCCGTTGTCATTTTTATGAGATGGAACATCGACTGGATTCTGCGGAGCTGTTAATTTCCCGCACTTTTTTAATCCACGAAAGTTCTCAGAGTTACGGTTCAGTGATCCAGAAGGATGCAGAAACCCGAGGCCTGAGTTGAGTGATCTGATCCACCCAGTAGCATGTGATCCTGGTGTTAGCAGGCTGCGTGCGAACTTAAAAATGCGTTGGACCGTGTCTGCCAGAGGCGACGCCAGCAGCACTAACTGACAGCCTAGCTAGTTGGAACCACTGAGTCCTATCATTATATGGTTAGCCTAGCAACGGTGCGTCCGTACAGCACACGAGTCTCTGTGGTTATAAGTGAAGGGTTGACAGTTCGAAATGTGAACTCGCGTGGGTATGTGGTGATGATTCCTCCAATAGTACTGGGGTGGTAGCCCTCTTTGCCATGCTTATATGTATTCACAACTGTGTCGTACTTGTACACCACTTTCTGCACTAATTCTATTTGCTACACATTCCTGTACCTTGCATTTATCACTGTTTGTTTTAATTTGATGTACAAATTGTTACGCGCCACATTTCAACTGGTTTGCATGACGTTATCAATGGAGGACTTTTTGCTCCTATGGTTGTTCTTTACTAGACGGTCTAGGCAGTGAATTTAGTCATGTCCAGGGTATCGGGCTCGGCTTATCTTGACGTCTTCTTAACGTGGGCTCGCATTATCGATTGCTTTCTATGCGCCAAACTGGCAGAAAGAAGAGAAAAAATAGAGAGACCAAAAATTACCTATATTCCTGTCAGTTACAACTTGAGCTACTGAAATATTTTAAGCGGCAAGTGGTGACAATCTTGTGAGTTGAAAATTGCGTGACTCGTAGTTCACGGGCTCCCAGTCCAAAAACCTACCCAATTAATATTCGGTGCTGAGGCTGAATTTGGTCAAGTGGTGTCGAAACGTCAGGCGAATAAATGTATTGTTCCAGCGATCGAGTCGTCTTCTTCGCAGTTACTTCTTGGGACTCGCATGTTCTCTTGTATTTGCAACCCAGTCAGTGAGGCAGTTAAACAGAATGGGTGACAGGACGCAGCCCTGTAGGACACCAGAGCGAATATCCAACGGTTGGGAGAGATTGTTTTGGAGTAGATCTCTTGCGGTGGTGGACCGGTAGTATGACTTAATAATGTCAATGACTTTGGTTGGCACTACATCTACAGTAGATTCCATATCTCATGAAACGTCACCCGGAACTCTGAAATGCTTTTTTGATTCGAACATATTAATTACGTACAGTTTTAAAAATAACGATCGTGCAGCTTAATCTCAATACATTTTGGTCATACGTGGATGCCGGCTTTTTAACGAGCTTCTTCCTGACCGCTAAGTAAAAGGATGTACTATAAAAAGTAGCAACTTAATTAGTATGCCTTTTTGTCATGAATTTTGACTGCCTTTATAGATTCAAATATATTTTTTGGAAAAGATGCGGAAAAAATTATTTCTTCTACTCTTATGATGGCAAATTTCGCCTTTTTTAAATTTTATACTTAAAGAAAGTGCATCTTTCGGTTTTAAAAATTTTTAATTCTGAGCTTTTTTACAATTGTCTAGTTTTCATTCCTAGAACATCGTATCCGTCAATTTGTTAATGCTGCCTTTACTGGATAAAGCATTCTCCACATCTGTTGCAAGATGTAATGAGAACTATGTGAGATCTTCCTCAAACTGTAGGTGAATAGGTACACAGTGCGCAGTTTTTAAACCTTGAATTCAAATGTAGCAATTTAGAAACTTTTTTAAGACCGAAATATACCCTTCCTTTAGTTATAAAATTTAAAGAAGGCGTAATTTGCCACCAAACGAGTACAAGAAATAATTTTTTCCTGTATGTTTTCCAAAAAATATATTTGCATCTATAAAGGCAGTCAAAATAAATGACAAAAAGGCATACTACTAAAGTAGCTAATTTTTATAGTACATACTTTTACTTAGCGGTCAGAAGAAGCTCGTTAAGAAGCCGGCATCCAGGTGTGACCAAAATTCATTGAGATTAGGCTGTACGATCGTTATAGTTTAAACTATACGTAATTAACATGTTCGAATCGAAACGGCATTTCAGAGTTCCGGGTGACGTCTGATGAGTTAGGGAATCTACTGTAGATCCATTATTCCCCTCAGGGACTCACGATGGATGGAATCGAATACGGCGGCGAATACGACAAAGCAGATGCTGTTAGCTATGGCGGAATTCTAGAATGCATCTCAGCATAAATATTTGGTCCGCACATCCACGCCCAGCGTGGAGTCTGGTTTGGTTGGACCACTTTCTGGAGTCAAGTGCAAACTGGAAGCGCCTGAGAAGAACAGTAGCGAAAATCGTTGCAGCAACATCGATAAGACTTATGCCCTCGTAATTCTCGCGTTTTTTCATATCTTTCTTCTTGCGGACTGCTACAAGAATGCCAGAGCCCCAGTCATCGTGAACGGCCTCTTCTCGCCACGCCTGCATAATCACCTTATGACGCCGAGGAGCCAGGGTTTCGATTTCTACGGGAATATCGTCCTCTCCGCACGCCTTATTGTTGTGTAGCCTCTGCATTGTACGGCAACTTCGTCTTCGAAAGGGAGGTCACACGACACTGTGTAGGCTGTAGAGGGTTGAAACTCCGCTCTGAATGAGAGGGATGGTGTGGTGGGTTGCTCATCAAAGTTGAGGATATGCTCGAAGTGTTCACGCCAGCGATCAACCTTGGCCGAGTTGTCAGCAATCAAGCCGCCATTCACATGACGAACAGAATCACAGAGTGTCGGGCACTTACCACGAAGTTGGTGGATGATTTGGTACAATTTTTGAGTGTCATCAACATTTAAAGCCTGTTCCATAGAAGTCAATGTTTCGGACCAATACCTCTAGGTCATCTCTAGCCGACCTTGCTGTCAGCTTTCGAAGTTGGCGGAAGGAGGC